TTTAAAATTTTTGTCATATTAAATAGCATAATTTGAATACCACTCAAATTGCCATTCGAATTGACATTTATAATATCACACAACTTCGCAGATATGCATGTTCGTGAAGTCATATGATATTGTGAATAATAGCAATTTGAGTGACATTTGAATTATGCTATTTAATATGGCAAAATTTTTAAAATTTACTAGTAATAACAAGCTTTATTTACTGATTCAGAAGCTACTGAAGTAGTTGAAATTGCAAGAATATCTCTTGCCATTAAGGATACAGAAGGATATTTTAATTCATTTTCCTTCCACTAAGTTAGGATATCAAATGACTCTGAGCAGAAACGTGGAATAAGTGGGTCAGTAAGATATCGATCAAATTCATTCATTTTATTCGTGATATTAACAGAATTTTCTACAAAAAAAAGATCAAAATCTTTTATCAGTTCGATGAGTTAGTAATGATATTTTATAGCGAGGATCCATTATTGAAGCAATACAATACATATTATCCATATCTGACCAATATTTATCGAATTTGGTTTGCATTGATATTACTATTTAGCAAATAAATAGTTCCGTATTAGCAGCATTTTGTTCAAGATGCAGCTTAATTTTCACCACGTGAGGAAGAAAAATATTAGCTGTGGAATATGTGCTTCCTGAAATAAGACTTGTAACTATAAAATAAATAATTAATTAGCTATTAATATGGTGTATAAGTATAAACAACTATTATAAGGCTCTCCATCATTTTCTCTACATTCATTTTACTAATAGCTATTTCCTAGAAATTTTTCCTGACAATTACTTTGACAACAATTATTTTTTGGAAATGAAGCGACTATTCAAATACATAGATAATTCTGATATAGTTATACAATTGATAATTTTTTTTATACGTTTTATAATATTTCTTTTAAAAGCTTGGATAGCTTAACTTTTGATGAAATGGGTATAAATTTAATAGATGAATTAATGTTTTCACATAACATTCTTTGAATTCTAATAAAATGCACTATCTGGCGTCCCCCTAGTGGGGTATTAAAAAAAATAAAAAATAAAAATTCCTGTAAATTCCGCAACTTTTTTTTTTTTTGCAACCTGATTGCCAGATTTGAGAAATGATTAATTGACAATTATGTGTAATTATATCAGAATCATCTATCTATTTGAACGGTTACTGCTACAAAGTGATTATTGAGAAAATTATGTCAGGAAAGTTGTACTGTAGTAAGAAAGTTGTTGTGTTAGGAAAGTAATTGTTAAAGAAAAATTTTTGAAGAAGTGATTTCCAGGAAAATGATAAAGGATCCTACTATAATATATTAAGATTAGTATTACCTTCATAAAATGGTTTCAAAAAATTACAAATGATTTTAGCTTTTCTCCAGTCTTCAGCAGAAGGCATAATTTGTCTAAAATTTGTATCCTGTAATGCAAGATGCTCAAATACTCCTTTATAAGAAATAGTAAATATTAGTATTAAGTACACAAAGTTCTAACAGGTAGGTACATCAAGAGTTGGTCACCAATTTGATGCAAGTTCATTACCACACCCTATTATAGTATCTTCAAAGTTCTGTTGTCGATGTTGTGAACCATCAATCCACTTTACACATTCTTAGATTTTACATATAATGTTTTTAACTTTTTTAAGGCCATCATTAACTATGAAATTCAATATATGGGCGCAATAGCGTTGGTACAATAAACGTCCATTAGCGATAAGCATATTCTGTTCCTCAAGTTTATGTTTTATATTAGCTATCACAGCGTCGTTACTGGTCACACTATCAGTGATAATTGACAAAATTTTTGATATAATATTCCTAGTAGTTTATTTAATACTTTTTTAGTAATAGTTGGTATTTTTATATAGTCGATACTGTCTAATTGCATACTATCCGTCAAAGACTTTTTAGTTATAAGAACTATTTTTGTGCTAATAATTAAACCTAATTTTTTTTTATGCATTTAGAGAGTATATACAATTAGACAATATATATATAGATAGTACCGACTGTAGTTATAAAATTTAATATTTATTATATAGTGCAGAGCAATAAAAAAATATTTATAATACTTTAAAGTTTATAGATATCTAAAAATTTGGCGAAATTTAAAATATTTACCAATTATTAAAACAATCCAAAAGCATTTTACTGATAGTAATACCTGTATATGGTGCGAGAACCTTCTTAAATACTAAGATTATTCTTTGAAGTTTCTAGTCTTTATCAATAAAGTGGCATGTAACTACCATATATCTAACAGTTTGAATCGACATCCATAAATCAGTTGTAAAACCCAAATATCTGGGAGCTTCTTGTACCATGGTATATACATTTACTTTAAGATTTTTAAAAATATCATGGCAATCTTCACGTATTGTCCTCTCACTCATCACTTTAAATTCTGGCCGCAAATTTTTAGCAAAGATTAGGAACCCTTCATGTTCAACCATACGAAACAAATACCTATGCATCATGATTATTTCTGACAAGTCTTGACGACTTCTTTCTTGGGAAAACCTATATGTAACAAGACCTGATGTGCCTAATTGCAACTTTTGTTGTAATTCATCTACTTTAAGATATTTTTTATATTTTGTGTTTTTCATATGTCGAATTAAGACACTGGTTCCTGATGCACTTTCATACTTTAAATCATTTTTACAATGTGTACATTGAATATAGCCTTCTAAAAAAATATATTTCATAAATATTATCAAATATTATAAATTTAAAGATTGTATCCAGGTAGGCATTTCTATTATATTGTCATAATAAATTATCCGGATAATCAGGTAATTTAATAGAAAATTTCTTGGTGAGTACAATCTCTATATAAATTCATAAAATAGTAAAATAAAGTTTTACTTTTTAGAGAATTAGGTTTAAAGTATTCTTCTTAAAACACCCAAGATAGTCCCTTGCTTATTTTATGTTTTTTGTTAGTGATAGTTATTTCGGGGCTTTCATTTATAGCGGTTGCCTCAGAATTTTCATTATCAGTTGTTATTTCAGGGTTTTCTCTTCCTTGATTTTCACTTATTGCAGAATGGGTGCTTTGTATTTCTATTTATAATAAGTAAAAGTTAATGCTAATTGAATAAATCTAATTTATGATATATATCAGCATACCATCATCCAATTTCTATCAATATAATAGTCGAATCAATCTATCTTAAAAGTAAATATAATTAATTATATTATTAGTGTTTAAACAAGCTTTAAATTTTTTACAATACTGACATTAGCTTTTTTTTTTTTTGAATAGGATTCTTTATGTTCATATTATGCAATACTTTATCAATAACATGCACTATCACAGTATTAGATATATATTGTGCAAAACTTACATTCTCTTTAACCTATACTCTTATACCAAATAATTTTGCGTGCGTACGTATGTCTGATAAAAACGAAAGCTGAATTAACTAAACTTTTCCAGATGACTTTTACTTTAAGATTTCACTTTATTCAAAATTAGAGTTAATACTTGGAACCAGATTTAATCACGGATTTAATTCCTAGAGATCCAAATTTAACTATTAAACCAGAATTTTTAACCATTAGATCTGAATATAGGTGGAATATCCGGATTTAAATATGCAGGCACGTTACTTTGTTCATTCATTAAGCTGGTTTCAGATATATAGGGATAATACGCCTAAGCCTTAAATCCGGATCCATGGATTTAATAATAAATTCAGATCCAGTTATTACTTTATTCAAAATCTTGCATTATCATTATGTGATATATGCATCTTATGCATTCGAAGTTCTTGTAACACTATAAAGGAAAGTCCCTTTAATTTGTATTACAATAATTACACATTAAACCCTGTGATACATGCATTTTATGCTTCAACGTCTCTATGACCAAACTATCAATGCCATATGTATTCAAGTTTATCGATTTTACTATATTGATTTAAAACGAAAATGCAAGGTAACCTTCTTCTCTTTATTTCCATATTATTTATATACAATATTTTGACTTAAATCGATTAGACTTCAATTTTAATTACACATGTTATACCATTAATTACCCTCGAACTATTGCAATTTCGCCTAATTAATTTCCTGTGGTTCGATCGATGGTCGTGATTAAACCATGTGGCCAAGAAACCTTAAAACAATACCAAACGATAAGATTACATTCTTTTTAACTCAGTAACATTAATCTTCAAGAAATAACTCTAATTATAATTTGATTTTAATCAATACTGAAGTACTGTAATTTTAAACTAGAGTTCTGCAAGTGCTGTATGTGTCCTATTAAAACAGTGCCAGGCACAGGCATGGGCACTATGTTTTAATAGTACATGTGCTAGCACTTACAGAACTCTACTTTGAACCTATGAGTAAATCAAGAGAAAAATAATTATAAATATTTGAAGTAGAAAAAATAAACATATAGAGTTAAGCAACCTTCGAATTTCAGATTTAATTGGCTAATTTATTTAAGTTATGATTTTGACTATAAATTTATTGGGTATTATCGGGCATAATCGGGCTTTGTTTTGAAGCTCAAACCTGGCCTGATATTTAACGAGCCCGATTTGTATCTGTCCCAAATAATAGCAGGTTCAAAAATTATAAGCCCGAATTGAACAAAAGCCTGGCCCGTCTTGCAAATTTTTGGGCTTAGTCTGGCCCGTCCTGCATCCTAACTATAGTACGTACATTATTGTTAGAAAGTTATCATTAAATCTCTGTAACAATGCGTTTGTTTAAAAAATAGTTGATCAACCTGATTATTCGACTAATTAGTTCATTATACATACGATTAAGATTTTATTGCATATACATATATATACATACAGTACATATTACTACTTTACATATGTATATATACGTACATTAAATATATATTGAGCTAAAAAGCAGCATATGTATATAGTTTAAACTTTTCTAAGATACAATAAATTTTGTACTAATTATCTAACTCTAATAAATTTTTTTTTATCTCAATCAAATTGGTGCATAAGCTCATAAGTTCTATAAAGAATTTTGTTGAGAACACTTTTTTTTGTTTTGAGCATTATGTTCAAAACTACCACAAACTCTACATTTATATTTATTTACTGCATCTCCTTCACACACCTGATTATCAGCTGAAAATTTATTATCTTGATTAACCTCATTATAAATATTATTAGATTCTTTGAATATAAACTTATTCAATTGTATATTCTCATTTAAAGGTGCTAATGCCTGTTTTTTGTATTTAGTTATTATATTATTGTACTCTGTTGATGATTTTAATTGATTAGAAGATCCTTCTCTTTTTCGAACCACAAGAGGATCAGTTATTTGAATAGGAATATAAGAATTATCAGAATTCTGATTTGTATTTGTGTGATCTTTGTTGTTATTATTATTTATTGTAGAATAATTAGTACTTAATTTTTGCTTATTTCCAATAAAGTGATATAAAATGTTCAACAATTCATCGTCACAGTTCAAAGAAATAGACAAATTTAGAGCTTTTTTAAGAACTCCAAATCTAGTTAAATATCTCATTTTTTTACTAACATTATGTGACATTTCTGAACTCATCATATTATTACTTCTCATCTGCTTTAGATATTCCAAATTGAATGAATTATGCATTTCTTCTGGTGAAGTTGTTATATCTGTTGCAATTGCTAAAGAAATATATGAATAACTCGATAATAAATTAACATAGCTAATTTGTTGCTTAGATTCTTGATACCATCATGAAGGTATAAGTGCAATATGAAACTTTGCATAGGATGAAAGAAGCATTATTTGAAAAAAATATTTGCATACAATACCCTGACTTATAAGAAACATGCAAGTACATTTATGAGTACTATCTACTAGAAGAATAATATAATGAATTATAGAAGTAATAATTTCTTTAATTTGTTTAACATCATTATAATTGACATTCTCTAATAAGCTAGACAACAGTATTCGAGGATAATCATTAAGATCTTTAGTAAAATTACTATCAGGAACATCACTTTCTAACTATATTTAATAAGTATTAGAAATAATGCTACTAACTAACAAAACAATATAACTTATAAGTTACCTTGTTATTATTAAACTCAGATACTTCTAAACATGCTGCACAATAAAGTAATGATTCATTTATTTGTTGTCTTTGTATCGACAATATATGAGGTATTACAAACTTAATTAATATAGAATCGATTTAGGGAAATATAACTTGTGACGCAATTGGTAATCCTCTAGTAGGTATACTATTCTGATATTCTTCAAGCTGTGAGTATTCTGACTGATTATCAAATAGCCGTTGGTACTTTTCATACAAATGATATAAAGATGATGTATGATCTACACCTGTTTTAAGTAATGCATTAAGAGCCTCGATTCTCTGACTTGACTGTATACCAGCAGTAAACCAAAGACTTTGATACCATAAAGCCCAAATATATTGAATTAAATATAAAGTTTCTTGTAGATAATTACTTGCTTGAGAAAAATTTTCAATCATTTTTTTCAACGTCATTCAAAATCCAATTCATTTAAACTATTTCTTGTTCTATAGAACATCTTAATAAATACTTCATAATTAGCTCCTAAAAGTCATTTTAATTTTTTATGTATGTTTTGCTGAATATGGTATATATACAAAAAATGCTTCATCTCAGAAAATATAATAGAAACAGTATTGATTAGAGCTGGTTCAGAATCTGAAAATAATACTTGGATACCATATCACCAATAGCGTCTCTTAAACACTGAAAAACCATTGATAACTATTACTAGTTTTATCCTCTGACAGCCCTTGACATACTAAGTGGATTCTAGTATTATTATCTACTACGACAAGAAGGCTAAAATAAATATCATACCAGTTCATTTTACAAGTATTATCACAAATAACCACA